CCACATCCGCGTTCCGTTGTATATAAGAATGTGTTCTTCGTCGCAGCCTCATCGTTTATATCATTGGGGCTGTTGGCCATATACGTGGACAAAGAGTACGTGTACGGAAGCGTTCGGTGAATATCGCGCGGTATCGACTGCGTTTGAGTGGGGAGGAGAAGACCGCAGGATCTATATGGTCACTTCTATTGCGCATTAGCTCGTGGAATGGTAAGAGGGGATGAAAGGAGTGTACCGGCCACTTGGCCTCACATCTTCGCTTCTCCGCCGTAAATCTCGGCTTGACCATGGCTGGCTTGGGTGAAATCTCGCTGCTGTAGTGTTGGTGGACAGACGTGCTCCTAATTGCCCGATGTGAATGAGATGGTCCAGCGGAGTCGGTTTGCTTTTAAGTGTCTGGCACCAAGACTGCATGTGATTGTGGCGGTTCATCCTCATGATGTGATATCGGATGCAGTTGTCGCGGTGACCAGCGTGGTGCGAGGCCGGCAGGAGGCCTGCTGTGTGTTCGACGACTGAGAGAAGAGGTCGGGCTGGCAAGGTGAGTTGCACAGCGCCTCCTCATTTCCCCTTTCCACTATGCCATCCAGAGGTAGGTCCGCCATCGGCATAACCTGATCAGGTGAAGAAGTCGCGCTTAAGGTGGGTCGCGGCGTTGGCTTGTGTATCTTCAGCCGGTGTCGATGTCGTGGGCGAGGAGGTGATCCGGTCTTGATTTTACACCTGCTCCTAGGCAGGACCGATTGGAAGAAGCGTACTGGAGCAACGAAGGCATCTGAATGGGCGGGACCTTCGTCTTTTCATCGCGGTGGTGATTCTTCGCTGGCCGGATTTGCCAAGGTCAAGAGGATGAGGTCAGCCATAATGAGGGCTACAGAAGATAGCGATCAAAAGCCTGGTGCCCTGCGCGGATGCAATGGCTGCTGGGGAAGGGGAATGGTAGAGATACTATGGTGTATCGGTGGATGGACAGAACACAGGCGGCGTTGTTATCGCCGGGCGTGTGGGCCATCTTAACTCCGGGCGCGCTCACCCATCAGCCAGCGCTGGCTCGGTACGCCATCCACGACCTCGCGCGAATCCAGCTGCGCATCGCTTTTGCGGTGTCGCAATAGCTGAGTTGGCATCGCATTGGAGCTGCCATCACGTGCAGCCACCTCTTGCAAGACGCCGCCCAGAATGCGGCTCCGGGTGTTGAGGCCCGCGATGTGCTGTGCGACCTTCCGTATTGGCCGTATAGTTTCGTTAAGGGTCGCCCTTTGACAGCAGACACGCAGACTCTCAACCACGCCGCTGTGGAGCCCCGACGCTCTCCATGCACGCCACGACTGCCCATTCCTGATATCCAGACTCCTGCACTCTGCGCATATGTGCTGCTTCGGTCGCAAGCGCTCTGCGACCACCAAAGACAGACCACGGTACCAAACATGCGCTTCGTCGGCCTTCTCCCTGACTGACAGCTCCAGGACCGCGTCGTCCACCGCAGACTGCAATGTACGCCTCGATACCCCGAAATCAGGCCAGCCCAATCCCTCCTTCTCGACCGGATCACACCTCACCGACACGCCGGAGCAAATTATAGAACGGGTGGGCGGCCGGCTCGTCATCCCATACCCCGAACAGGACGGCTGGCACGAAGGGCTGAATTGGCGCGACAAACGAGACACTGAGGATCTGGTGACTCCCGACTACCAGAGGGACCTGGGGGCGGACTGGGACAAGGAGTATGAGGCCCTGGCGGGATGCAGAGAGCCGGAACGGCAGCCATCAGGCGGCAAGAAGACGGCGCCGACGGACAGCCTTGCGACGCTCAACTCGCCCAGTCGCGCTAAGGGAGTCAGAGTGTCCGGCTAGAGGCAACAGTGAGATCTCTCGTCCCCTCTTGACCTGGCATCCAAGTTGACCATCTCTTTCCAGCCAGCGCACCAGCTCGCGCCCTCCGCCTTCGGCGCATCGACCGCACACTTTAGTCATGACTCGAGCATGACCACATCAACACCAGCTCAACACAGAACGGGCTGAGGTATGATACGCAGGGGGGGGAGAGGACGTCGCGCGGCATACGCTCGATCAGGGCATTGCTCAATGCGAATTTTTCCCCCGTAGAGTACTGCAGTAGAGGGGCGGCGGATATATAGACGTGGCAGCGATATTGCAAAGTTTAGAGGGATCAGGGCAGTAATGGGCACACGGGTATATCTCGGGGCTATCGAAATCTGTTCTTCACGCGGCGCTTCGTCACCACAACGGGCTACAGTGCAATGCAGAGCATCCTGAATAGGTACGCGGACCGGTCCGAGGTTGCAGGACTCCTCTCGCTCGCGCAGGCTGCAGTAGTGTAACTGGTGGCATCTTGTGTTGCTCGTCGTCCAATCCTCGCTCGTGATGTCAGCATTTTGGGTGGGTGCGGCCACGCTAGATCCACGTGGCTTCCAAGGTTGGATCTTCAAGCCTCACGTCATCACCCAACTACACCTCATCACAGCTTTATTGAGTCTCCTGTCTTCTGCGTATCGTGCCACACTCAATATTACAGCACACTTCGGTAACACGGGTAGCTGGCCTTTTAGATGTTTGTGTCGAGGTGGTGGAATCGGGTGCCATGCCACCAGCCACTGCCTACAAATGGCTACAGAAGTTATCCGAGCAGATTTACCTGGGCAGAAACGTCACGAGTACCAAGCTGAGAGGATATGAGCTCATCACCGGCACGAAGAGGTCTGTTTAGCGAGCTTTGGTACATACTGATCGCCGTCGGCCGGCAGTTTGGCTGGCTGGCTGGCTGAGTAGGTGCATACGTTCCATCGGCCATCGAAACTCTCGAAACTACAGGAATGCTACACACTCCCGACCCTTGAGGCTCGCTCATCCGCTAGATCGTGTGCCTTTTCTCGTCAGCCAGAAGCTTCACAACAACCGTATACCGCGACGACGAGATACACGGGCCTCTCGTTTGGACGTCCGATCCATCTTGCCTCAAGGATCTCAAGACTCCCATATTATTCGCATCTCTCTCACTGCTTGCCATCAGCGGATTGTATAAGATCTAGTCAGTTTCATTCGGAACGCGATCCAATACAGTTGCCCTTTGCATATCAGATCAGACCCTGGTTCCCGAGAAGATACGTTTGAACATTTTAAAACCCGCTAGCTTGCCGTGTGTCTTCTTGTTGATAACATCATGGGCTCTGCTCCGCTTACTGCCGCCCTCTTCCAAGGATGCTTCTCCTTTCCGACCGCATCTTTCAGGGCGATGAGCTGAGTAAGAGCATCGAGCTCGGAACGATGGAGATTTTCCCAAACACCGCGAGAGAGGCCTCGGCAGGCCGTGTCATGCTCAGTCATTCTTCTCAAGGTTCTATCTTCTCGGCCTGGAACTACGTCTGTCGCTACGCCAGACGTTGAGATCCAGGTCTTCGCACTTCTGCTTTGAGCACCTGTCGAACCTGACGTATGTTACCTGAGTATTACTTCACTCAACTCGCTCGATCCGGTTAATCGTTTGCGCCAACACGAGCCACATTACACGCTCGTCTACAAAATCGCTAGATCACCGAACAAAACTCATACTCCGGCGTCGCATCTCCGTTGTTATCAGATTTGCCAGACGATCAGCACTCATAGAAGATAGCACTGCACTTCCCCGACTTAGTTCCCAAACCGCGACATTCTATCCGCCCGTCGCGCCGACCGATATCCTCGTACGCTCATTCAATCTACCCCACACTTCCGACTCATCCACTCACAGTATTACAGACGAACCGATTGCATCAACAGACAACGGTAACCGTCTCCTCGATCTTATCCCTCCTCATTCGCCATTGTCACCATTTTCTTCGCCATGTCAGCCAACGCCACCCCGAAGCGTGCCGCCAAAACCGCTAAACCCCTCCTACCCGCCCCTTCTTCGCCCCTGAGCCTCGCCGCGTCCCCCTCCTCCAGTCCAACCAAGATGACCTGGGACGCCGCCAACGACCGCAAGCTCTTCCTCCTCATCTTCGGCCGTACCGTCACCCCCGCCGAATACCCGCAGCTATCCAAGGTCTTCCCCGGCTCCAGCGTCGGTAGTATCAGGAACCGTATCACCGCTCTTCGGGCTGAGGCGCGCAAGATGCAGGAAGGCTTGGGTTATGAGGTAGGCGCCGGCGCGGCGGCCAAGAAGGTCGCTGCTGCTACCCCCAAGAAGCGAGGTGCTGTGGTCGTCAAAAGGGAGGCGGATGATATGGATATGGATGAGGAAGACGAGGATGAGGATATCGTGCGTGACCCGAGCAAGAGGGTCAAGGCCGCTGTGCGCAAGCCACAGGCTAAGAAGGACGGTAGCTCTCGGAAGAAGGGTCGTGGAGGCGCCGGTTCTAGTATTCTTGACCATGGATCGTCTGACAGTCAGGATGAGCTTGCCTTGATGGGTGAGGACAAAGTCAAGCGCAGGCCTGTGCCCGCTGGCGTCCCGTACAGGGTGGTCGGAGAGTCAGTCATCAGAGATCCCAGGACTGGCGATGTCATCGTTGATGACGACGATGTCGAGGATGAAGTCTAGCTATGTACTGACGCAGACTAAACATGCGCTCGCGGACATTGATGAGAGGGATGAGGTAGGATACGTGACGGGGTAATGGAATAGATGCTTTGACGCAAGTCACCCCATCGTAGCTTACTATAGCACTGCTTTCCAAATACATCACCTGTTTCATGTGGTATCATCTCTTGAACTATCCGTCTGACATCTGTCAATCTTCTGTGCAGCTCTATCACACGTCTTCACACAAAGAGGTTTTGCAGAATACAACTGCGTCCGGGGGTGTTCAAGACGATAGAAACCATGTACGTATGCTCATGGGCTCATGCATCAGAATGAGAGGTCATGGTATTATCGTGGTCATTTCGTTCATTATCTATCGTTCATCGGAGGGCTGCGCCCGGGGTATCAAGTCCATAGAAGAATATGCCAAGGCCGCTTTCATGGCGAGCCAGTCGCGGGGTGTCTATCGTCTTCGATTCTAGATAACAACCCTTGGAGAGGCTGCGCGCGCGTGGGCAACGGTAAAGGCCCATTCCACGTTCGCTTCTCCGTTTTCTTCACCGTTCTCACCCCTGTTGTCTTCTCCGTCCGCTTCCGGAACCGCTTCCATCTCTTCTTCTCCGGCTGATGCGCGCTTCCTTTTCCTACCGCCACGCTTCCTTTTCTCGCCGCCACGCTTCCTCTTCTTACCGACACTGGTATCACTGCGGTCTTCGCTGTCGATGGAAGGCGATCCTTTGTGGATTGGGGAGTATTCAAGTGGCTCGTCGTCCTCGAAATCGGGTCCGTCGTAAACATCTTGTGTTTCGTCTCCCTCTGCGATGACGTTGCACAATTCTCGGTGAGAAATCTCGATGCTGTACCCGAGGAAATTACCGGTGTTGGGCTGGAGAAAATCGGCCAGTTCGAGCCGGAGCTTAGCGCGAGGATTAACGACACCATGCACATTCTGAAAAACAACCGGATCTTTGGTGGTGTGAGGGTACAGCCGGCCTTTCTTGTTGATGCGGCTCCGATATATCTGGTAGGTAGCCCATCTCTTCTGAGTGCGAAGCCTCTCTCGCGATTCAGGAGTACGATATTCCATGTCAAGGCCTATCATGGTTCTGATCCGACCTTGACTGCCGCCGATGTACTTATCAGCTATCGGGTCGAATTTGGTGGCTCCGTTCTGGCTGTGCCCAATCTCGACGACAAGTGAAGGTTTTCGCCGCTGTCCGGAGACAAAAGCAGCGTCGGGGCGACGTTTGTCTTCGCCAGATGCTTTTCCGGGTAGCTCGCCTTTATATTTGATGCTGCTAATGACTGCTCGTACTGCAGATTTCGTAGGGGCTTTTTCTTCCAACGTGAAAAGCTTCCTCTGGATAGTGGTCATGAAATCACTCTTGACAACCTTGTGGATTGGGCTGACCATCTTGACCTCCAAGCACTCTTTCTTAGCGTCGTAGTGACAACTGAACTTGTCGTTGTTCAAAAAGAGTACATCTTGCAGTGCGAGCCAGACTGCAGGTGTTACGGGGAAGAACTTCTGATTACCCTCTTCACCAATCCACTCGGGGCTGTGAAGATCTTGTAGACGTTTGTAGAGCTCTTGAGCCTCTCTCTTGATCGCGGAGTCGATTGGAGATGACTTGAGCGGAGTAGGCAGCTCAAAAACTGGGACAGAGTGTACCTGAGGGCATAGAGGAGGAGGAGATGAGGGAGAAAACTGATAGAGACACGAGCGCTCGCTGTCGCTAGAGTCGCGCATAGTAGAGTGCATGGTGGGGTAGCGCGCGGAGGAAGTGCGAATTTGCGGTATATAGTCGGTGGTGCGATGCGTACTAGCCGTAATAGTGCATATGTAGTGAAAGGCAGCAATGTTCATGGGTGGCGTTTTGTACTTGAGCGGCTAGCGCGAGCGTGCTTGGCGTAAATAGCCCCACCCAGTATTCACTGAGCGTCGCACCCACTTTGTGCGAAAGAAAAGTTAAAAAGTTACCGTGCGGTCTACATTAGGACGAGAACAACGGTTCGACCAGCTTTTGAGACGATGTAGCCTTGCCAGCTCTGCAGGTTGCGTTCGGCTTTTGAAGTTATTTGAATTTGTGTACTGGCAACCATGAAATCAACAGGATGGCGAGCACCAAAAGATATAGATTGAAGCTTAATCTTACCATTCAGTCGCCACACTTCCTATTCGATCTCCTCAAATGCAGCATAATGTATGGAAGCGTCGCACACTACACCATCGCAGAGATGCGGAAGAAACAATGTTTCCATGAAGAATGTGACATACCTGGGTAGCCTAACACACCATCTTTACACCTGTCCCAAAGAATATTTCGGCAGTGATATTGCTGCAAGATCCCACTCCAAATCGCGCGGAAATAGTACAGATCACAATAAGACGGGAAGAGGGCAAGCCTCTTTGAACAGTGGCGTTATGACAGATAGCATATCAGGAGTTGTTCCAGCTTTCAGGACGGACTCTCGTAGTCACGCATTAAGCCAGAGTACAGCGACAATGACTAGTGCTGCGTGAACCCATGATTTCACCCAACAAACCTGATCACATCGTATAGGGCATCGCAGTAAGAGACTGCAGCGCAAGTATTATGGTATTCATCTGTCGTCTTCAAGCCGCGCGCTTCCATATCGAGAACACAAATCTTTTATTGAACCATGACACCAGCCAGGATTAACATCAGTCTTGCCTACAGAGAGAGTCTTGGACTGTTTAATTCTTCCGCGTGGTATTCTCATCGCATCCAAGTGTACCAACACAGAACGAGAACTCACGCGCAAACAGTGAAGTGGCTACCGCACAGCACATTAAACGCTTTGGGCATACACCCCTCCTACATGACCCTCGTCTTTATAAACGTCACCAAAGGCAGAGCAATCAATTACATTATACATCTGTCGGTATAGAAGCAGGCGTATATCTCTGCCATGTGAAGACGCCCAAGAGAGGAAAGCCAGTAAGAACCTAGGATTAACTGCACGATCAAGATGTCTACAGCATGTGAAAATTGGTATAAGACCGGGTGAACCTCTCCGAACGTTCTCGGTGCCATTTGTCGCTTTTTGGGGTTCCGATGATTAATAGTGACAACAATCTACATCAATCTGACTTAACTTTGGTATCTGACAGTAAGCTATACTCCGGCAATGTCCACGGTACGTTGATAAGGGAAAGTTAGTGGATGAAACAGATCTTAGATGCATTGAGTACGGAGAAACTGCGTTCTGAGAGCGGCCGCAGTCACATTCTTCATTGCTAAGCAAGGGGTATAAACATGACGAAATCGAAACAACAGGCTTGACGTCTAACACGAACGCATCATCTACTCTCCTTCCAGTGGCTCCCTGAGAAGATCTTCCAGTACTTCAATGGAGAGTTTAGCGCTTGGTTTGCCCAGCCACAGCTCCGCTATTCGCATCATATCATCCGCTGTCAAGAGGACTTGATTTGCCTTTCGAGAACATTCCTTCGCCTCCTCTACCTCCCTCGTTGCGGCGCCCATCTTCTCAGCCCACGCTCCATATTGTGTGACACGATGCTCTATCTGCCTGATTTCCGCTTCGCACGCATCTTTCATGGCTTCTAGTTTGGTCACGTCCTGGGTCGCCGAGGCTACTCCTAAGCTGGCGAAGTTGGTGATCGCCGTGATGTCTCCTGCGAGATGCTCATTGTAGTCCTGGGTAGCCTTGAGCTTAGCAGAGAATTCCGTTTTGATTTGTTCCAGGCTATCTTCGCTTGGCAGTGTACTCAGCTGCAGTGCTTTCTGCGCTTCCAAAGCATGACTACGAGCGGTCTCTTGCGCCTGAGCAAGATGGACTGTAGCTTGGAGGTTGTCTTCCTTGGCTGCCTGGATTTCTTTCTTCTTCCTGACAATGATGTGCATGACCGCGCGGAAGTCCGGATCCTGTGCGAGCATTTTGAGTGACATGAGGTCTATACTACGAACCGGGGTGAATGGCTGAATGTTATCGTCGTCCCCAAATGATGGGCCGTCCTCTGTGACACGAGAAGTGTCCAGGTCAGTGATGCTGTTACGCCGGAAGGGACTCTCCTGATCGTTGAGTGTGTCCTGAAGGTCTTCTTCTTGGAGTGTGCTGTCCTGGAATGACAGTGAGTCCCGACGGCCTTCGAAGAGGCTAGTGTCGTCGTCTGGTAATTCCGATGGGCCCCGTCTAGGTCGCTCGACTGATTGCGAACGCGAGTGATCCCGAGGATTAGCTGGTGTCCTTGGTGTCACCGCACGCCGTTTGCGATTCTTCTTCTTGTCAGGTGAGTTAGATGGGCGATTCTGGCGTTTCTCAAGGCGGCGCGCCCGCTCAGAAGACACGTCTGCGGCCAGGGTGGCGTTCAATCGCTTGCCCCTCCACGCGATGATGTCCTGGAAATATCGCCACGACTTGCAGTCCAGACGCTGAGCCTGTGAAGGTGAGAACGCGCCGTCAGTTTATGTGACAGGTCCAAGTGCGGCTCAAATACGTACAGTTTGGCCGAAGTGGGTCGGATTCCTAGGATCGTATCTTCGCTGGACACTGATGATATCTTGACGCCTGACCTTGTCGAACGCCTGGAGCTCAGCGACAACGTCCGAGAGCGGTTGCGCAGCTTTCGAGTACTTGTTCAGATAAACGGCAAGGTTGAACGACGGTACTTGCTGGATCCGGATTTGGTGTCGCTGGAGGACGGTCCACCAGTCTGCGCCCCAGTGTTCGGTGACACCCTTGATATTGTGCCAGACGTCTTGGAAGCTCTTGCAGCCACCTGACTCTCCGAGTGAAGTTTGAACGCGCTTCTCGAAAGCCTCAAGGTCCTCGCAGTAGTAGTCCTGGAATCCCAGCACGAGCGCGGCAACGCAGACAGCCTCTTTGGTCCATACAAGGTCGTCGAGGGTCCGTAGATCAGCCAGCGGCGTGGGCGCGGCGGTTCGGTCGTGCGGGCTCAGCGCACTCTGGGCAAGGCGAAGCTCAAACACACGGCGGGCGTTGCTGGGTGTGTTCGGCATGATAACGCATGTTGTTCGTGTCATGAGATGAGGTCGCGTCGCGGCCGATGGCGACCAATGAGAAATACACGCTAACTGAAAACAGACTAACGCCACGATCAAGAAGAACAACGGAAAGAGCAAGTGATTTTGGCTTTTAGAAGCCTGTAGCTGGGCAGAAACTACAGCAGGAGTCTGTAGCGCTCTTACGAAGAATGTTGAATTCATAGTCAAACCAGTCTGGGGTGCGGGGCGATACACGTTAGTCGCACCGTCCATTTCCTCGCCTCTCCCTAAAATCAAGATACTTCCCACAACTACAGCACATGTACCACTCCCCACCTTTCGGTCGGTGATCCCGCACTTACTACCACGCTCTTCGAAGATCGTATGGTCACAGCCACCTATGCCAACTCTCACACAGGCGCGCCCCAGGCCGCCCTCAACCGCCTCGCAAGCTGAATGTCCTTCTGCTGAATCGTGACACGCTTGGCGTGAATAGCGCAAAGGTTGGCATCGTGGAACAGGCCTACCAGGAAGGCTTCGCTCGCTTCTTGCAATGCCACGATAGCTTGACTCGGCCATCGCAACGGGCCATCGATACGCGAGACGGTCAGGGCAACCTCGCGGACTACCCGCTGGAAGGGCAACTTCAGCAGCAGAAGGTCGGTAGATTTCTGGTATTTTTTGATCTCGCGCAGGGCGACGGTACCGGGCTTGTAGCGTCTCTTTGGTCTGGGAGCGGGTGGAATACCGTGATGATTTCGTGGTTCAACGCGGGCTCCTCGGGCAGGCCCCCGCCTTCCCGTCATTCTAGAGATAAGCGTTTGGCGTATTTGATAGCAAGGTATGGGTGGCAAGAGATGAGAACGGCCTGGGGTGTCTGTATCCGTTATGCCGTGCAAGCAAAAGATCAAGTGCATGGGATCATTCTGCGCGTAAAATACACTTGGTTCGGGGTCCAATTGCTGTTGCGTTCTTTGTGTCTGCATGCGTCCATGGCATAGCTCAAGGCCGGATGTATGCCAGGGATGCGCGGATGCGGAGGCCACTGGTCTTCGTGAAACAGGCTATTGTAACAATGGCGACGGTATTGTGTGAACCTGCCATGTTGAGCCCATCCATGATAGAGGTTGTTGAGCCATGGCCTCAAAAGCGCGCATCGCGAATGAAGGTCGTGGAGGCTGGTAGAAGAGACCCTGTCGTAAGATTAGAGCTCGAGAGTGAGCGTGTCGCATCGGTGCAGTATTTGAGGAGATGTTCTGGCAGCACAGCGCTCCGACGGAGAGGCGCTTGTCTTAATCTTGCGGTCGTGCGCGACGACACAAAGCGAAAACGGGATGGATGTCAAGACGTGGCTGGGCCAGCGAAGTGACGCGCTGAGATGGGAGCTGGACCTCGGGAGTTGCTTCGCGCTAGCTCAAATGCGGCGGCTGCTCGGCCGAGTCGAGGCCCCTCCATCACCTCGCGTGCGCGTTTATTCTCCTGCTTCATTGAACCATCTCATCACGGATTTGACCAGATGGAGCATCTACCAACTAGAGCTCAGGAACGACAGAGACACGTCAAGTGCCGCGTGTCGGGTAAATCTGGGGCGGGTTGGAGAGGTTGCCTGGAGGTATCCGCTCATGCCACGCGCGTTGCGGAAGAATGAACAGGTAGCGCTGGAGGTTCCCACCGAGACTTCCAGCGTCTTGGGATACCTCACATATAACCCTGGAAGTATTAAATGATGCTGCGATAGTCACAGAAAAGTCAGTATGAAAGCCTGATGGTATTTACTGCCTGATCGAGTGTGGAATAGGTGCTGTAAACATTGTGGTATTCTTCAAATACTCTTTTCATTCAAACTAAAACATCAAGATCATGTAGGGTATCATCCAGTCCAACGCCATCCTCACCAGGTCTATCCTTGCGCCATCCGATCCTCAGTCTATCTCTGCCCAACCTTCACTGACCAAGATATCTTTTCGGTTTAACTATAGACCTTCCAAAGCTGTTGACTGGTGCTGGCGAAGGCTGAGCCTGGCTTGGCTGGCGCTTCGGCACCTTCTTGGCTGGAGGAGAGTAGTCAGGGCTGCGCGACCTTCTGTCTACGTCCCGCTGCTGGCTGTCGCCGCTATCGAGAATACTGCGAAGCTTCTTCGCGGAGATATTGATGTTAGGAAACTCGAAGCCTTCGGGAAGATCTTTCATCTCGGAATATGGTACGAAGTCGGCCAACGTTAGCTGGAGGCTGGCTTCACTCGCAGGCTTCTTGCTCTTCAGATCGCGAAAGGTGAACATGTCCATCGTCCACTTCAGCTCGGTGGGGGTGGATAGAGGATCGGCGCGATATACGGCAATTGTGCCTTTGGGTGTGCGATAGTCCATGTATCGCTCTTGAGGGCTCTGGTATTTCAGACCGACAGTTATGACTGTCTTCGTCTTGCGCTCTGTGTCCTGCATCCACGACATCGCCAAAGCTTCCAGATCCTCGTTCTTTTGGCCGTTGGCGACTTCGATGACGATAGGTTGGTGAGAGCGACCGAGGAAACGAAAGCAGGCGTCGGGCTGTCGCTTGCTCTTCAGTGCATCGTCGGTGAGGGTGTTGCCTGTCTTCTTGACGCCTTGATTTAGGAGTGGCGATGCAGTAGTATACGGTCCCACGATAGCTTCCAAGAATTTCTTCATGTCTTCGTCTTCTTCCTCCTCTTTCAATGCGTCAAGTTGACGGTCGAGGGCTTTTGCTATCTCTGCGCAGACTACGTCGTGAACAGTGTTTGGCACCATGTTGCGAAGGACAATCTCGCCTGTCAATCCGTTCCAGTCGTAGGTCAGAGATTCCAGCATCCACTTGCGCAGCTTGTCGTCGAAAGATTCGATGAGAGCAACGAAGTCAGATGGAGCAACGATGGCGCGGTACCACTCGATCTGGCGAAGTGTAGGATCTACTATCCAGCCTTCGTAATGACCGCGGATGAGTGTGTCTATCACTGCGATCTTGGACTCGGTTCTGGCGCTGCAGGCCTGGTCGGAAACCTCGTCGGTCGGTCTGGATCGCTTGCGCGACTTGGGCAGCGGGAGAAGAGGAGAGGTAGAAGAGTCAGTCGCCATGAGTGCGAGTTTGGCGGGGTTGGAGACGGGCATGGAGAGAAGATATGCTCGACAAACGCTGCGAGCGGTGGGAGAGCGGCGGTGAGGCCGTCACAAGATTCTGTCCGGGTGAGACCCGCGGGACGAATGTGTTGGGTTCGTAAGCTTGCGATTGCTGAGTATGGGCTGTATGTAGACGTCAAGCGTCAGTTTGCGCTTAGAAATCGGTATAGCGTGCGGCCGATATTCGATGCGATTGCGACGTTGGTAGTCGGTGCCGCAGTCTGGGGTTAGTGTGGGTAGTAAATACACCAGCGGCGGGAAAGGCCCGTTACCGAATGCGGCTAGTGCGCCAGCTCCGTTCGCGGTGGGCAGGATCATGGATACCAGCCCAACCCGCAACCTCACCGTTTTACCTGGGCAGAGATTGAGTTGAGTAGATAAGAAAAATGACAGGTCTGTCGTGAGATAGTTCTGCATTGCGCACGCGCCGGAATGCGCGAGAATGCGCGATGATGACTCTCAAGATCCCCAAGACGTAACCCTGCCATCTCGGAAAGTCCTGCGCGGCTGCTCAAACGCAAGTAACTAATCCCAGAAACCTAGTCACGACCAGACCCAACTTTGTCATCATCTTCATCCTCCCGCCTGCCGAGCAAACATCTTCGCTCATCCCTATTCAAATAATCACCGACTCAACCCACGCTCCAATGCATCGCGTCGTGCGTACTTTGTCTCGCTCGAGAGTGAACTCAACGCTTCATTGCTGTTGAAGGTGATACTGCATCCACCTTCAGACACTGACGTGATCGCGGTAGTGATTCTGGAGGTATATTCAAATCCCTTACACGTTCCACCGCAAGCCCAGACTATCATGTCTACTTCAGAGCCTCCAAGTCTTGTGACAGCAGGATGAAGCAGCCAACGATGTAGCAGAAGCTGTGGACTGCGTGCAACGAAGCGAACCGTCGGTATGAGTTCAGTAAAGATTTCCGCCCGGGTAACATGGTCTGCATCGAAGATTACCCAACCTCCTCATGTATGCTGTCCGTTGATCCTGCTCATGCGTGCTATTGTGTCTTGTAGTACCGTCATCACTGTGATGCTCATCCACCTACGACGCGCTTGGCTCTCCGCCCCGACGCATCCAGTTCCCAAAACTGCCTCTCCGTAGCTCGACTTTCTCTGGCTCGTGAGCGGCGGAGCATCGTGGAAGATGGCTGTATGGAGGATGACGATTGTCTGCGGCGGGATTTGCGAGCAGCTGCGGCGTGCTTGATAGGCGATGCGGAGGCCGAGTCCCCGCGCTGGGGTGACGTCTCAGGCGGAGTCGGAAAGGATGGCGGACTGCGATAGGAGCGTTTGGGCGGTGGTGAGGGCGATGGAGTAGGTGTAAGTTGTGGGGATAGTCGGCCCCAGGCGAGTTCGGGGGTTTTGGCATACGGCGCCCGTTTGGGTGGTGCCTCGGTGGTGCCGGCCGCCTGCAGCTGGTCTTGTAGCTTCCTCAGTGCCGCCAGCAGGGGTTTCGTGATGTACTGTTCCTCGTAGATTCTAAGCACCGCATCGGGTATGGCCGGCGAGCGCGGCGGCGATGCCAGGTCGTGCTGTAGCGACGTCATGCACAAGCGGTCGGTGGCAAGGTGTTGAAGGGGCGTGTGTCGAAGTCGTCCCATCACTCCCGGGCTGGGGGCTGTTTCCAAGCTTGGCAGCTCTAACCGTATGTGGTAACCCCCGCCCGCATCATTCAACTCCATGCATTCCGAGGTCGCCCCTGACCTCTCCCCTCATCACACCAATGTCTTCGCCAGGGGATACTCTGCCAGACGTAACTTCATGGGAGAACGTGCATCATGGAGTGTCAAATGGTGACTTCGCGCGATTGGTGCCGCATTCTCCAGCGGCACGCAGACTCTTTGGCCAAGTCGTCCGCCTGCTCGAGTCCGATAGCAGCAAGCTGCATCATGTGCGCCAGTACATTCACTACGAAGTCACGCTGTCAAGCGAAAGTACTGCTGAAAGCAGTTTTGCTGCTTCTACCCCGTCACCTCAGCGTGAACCCCTCCAAGAATTTTGCGGTTACTACCGCCTCAACATGTTCATTCCTCCTGCGAGTCAAGGCTTAGGCTGGGTTGTGGGAAGCTCAAGACTGAACAAGCCAGATCACTTTGTAGACTTTCTTCTTGCTCCATTCACCACTGAAAATTCTCTTCATTCACGACACTGCAGATTGCGACGTCAGCTTGAAAGTGGCGTCATGGTTGCCGTGTCTGATGGCAGAAAGGTATTGCAGTGTGTCTCTTCAGGGGCGCGTTTTGCTCATGATGTTTGCAGATCACTGTGGACAGCAGAAGCTTTCAACGCGACGACAAGAAGCCGCAGCACGAACGACATTTTCAAGCTACCCTTCAACATGGCACCAGCATCCGGCTGGGTGATCTTACTTACGTACTCGTCTATACCAACTTGAGCCAGGAGCAGAAACAACGAGAACTCGAAGAAGCCCTAGCACAGGCCAACGCTATGCCTCCGAATTCCGTGATGCTGCTTTCGCCAACACCATCCAAGCCAACTATCGACTACCACGGCTACAGCATCTATGATGCTAATCACCATGGCGCCACGAGTTCTGTATCGTTGGGCTTTGACAAGTCTAACGGCAAGCCAGTCGCAGTCAAGATGGTCAAATGCACCGCCTCACAGTTCGGTGACTTAAGAAGAGAGATTGGCATCTTGAGCCGTATCAGTCATGTATGTCATGCGCTGGATCCGATGAAACGAAACTAAATTTTTGTGTAGGAAAACGTATGCAAGCTTCTTGAGGTCGTAAACTGGGACGCGTCAGCCAATCCTCACGAATGGCGACAGAATGAGTGTCTGACTGTGGGTCTCATTATGTCACCACCGGCATCTTCCTCTGCGCTGCAATTACTCCCAACCTGGAAACGTCTTCCCGAGTCTACCACTTTCCTTCGCGAGTCCATACGCCAAATGGGATCCGGTCTTGCACATATCCACAGCCTCAGTATACTTCATCGGGACATCAAACCAGAAAACATAGGCTATCGCTCCGAAAGCCCAGTGCATGTCATCATCCTCGACTTTGGTTGCAGCGATCTGGGCCCGCACAGCACCCGCCACAATCGAGGCACGATAACGTATCTCGCTCCTGAGGTCATGAGAATAAAGGAAGAAGAGTCTTCGGAGCCCTTCTCGTTCCCATCAGACGTCTGGAGTCTCGGTGTCACTCTGGTCGACTTTCTCATGGGCAAACAAACTCATCGAAAACTAGGCCAGGCGCCAGTCTACAAGTCCTTCAAAGATATCTTGGGCGCAACTGCAGCCAGAGTAGACTACCGAGAATTCTGGGATATTGCGGCTGAACTTTTAGCATGGGAGGCAGAGCTCCGACCGACGGCGGAGCAACTAGCTCAACGGTTTCCCCACGAGAAACAAGATGAATCGGAAGTCTCACGTCAACCATCCCAGAGCGAAGAACCGTTGGCCAAGCGTGGGAAGGTATAGAAGTAGAGAGTTGACCCTCTTTCGTTCACATTGGGAAGTACCTCCTGTCTAATGAGCTGTTTCTGACTTGGGCGTGTTTCAGTCTTCCATATAGCTTGGTCAGAATCGGTGCTCTAAACTACTCTGTCACCCTCCTAGCTGGATGTTCCATGTTGCACTACCAGCTCCGTCATAACACATGTCTGATGCATCGTTAGGCGACGACCGGGGACTCATATGATCCTTGCGGCGGTGACGAACAATGATAGCCGGAAGTACCAGATAGGAAACAGAACTAAAGAACCACAGTACGCCGTAACGGGGAGCAGCTTGATATCTAACCTTCATGGGCCGCACTCATCGCCTGTACCGCTCGCTGTAGCATGAAAGATCCTCTCGCCCGTTAATCCACAGCCAATGCCCGTGTCAGATTCGTTCTCATCTTCGCAGACCGTCATGCACGTGTTCGGGTCGATCAAGCAGAATTCCTCCAGCAAATACAGGGTAGCGTTGACAATAATCTTCGTCTTCTTGCTAATGCTGATGGATGCTTCATCCGAGGCGCGCAAGTTCCCGATATGACATTCGAGAGTCTCCGAACTGACACTACCAGGGGCAGTCTTCTCGATTACTGCAGTGAAGCACTGGACAATATGGATGGCGGCTGCGTGGACTACGCTTGTCTTGTCTGCATTCGGAAGCTCCTTCGCACCAAAGACGGCGTTGATGTGACTCTTCGTGCGCATGCGATCGTGAGGACGCTTCATCGGGCATGCAGGGCCATCGAGCGTCCAGAAGCGCTGTAGAAGATGAGCCACGGCTTCACGGACCGCAGCGATCTTATTCCCAATTGAAAGCTTCTTCGCCTCGACCATGGTGTTGATGTAGACGACCGTTGCATCTTCGGGTGGGATCTTACGATCGGAGGGCCAGTCGTAGAAGAGCTCTACAGTGGAAGGGTGGGAATGCGTATCAGAAGATTCGTTGGGCGACTTGCGCTTTCCGGGAGTGGCTGGAAGTATCTCCATTCTCAAGGATGACGATATCAGATGCTCGAAGTCGGTGTTAGAGCAAATCGAATTGAGAGAGATGGAAGAGATGATGGCAACAGTATACGGGAAGTATATTGCAGGAGTCACGAACACGACTGCAAATGGAAGATATGCCACCTTTATCAAATCTGTGGGAAACCCATCTCGTACGATCGCCTGCACGTCCCTTTCCAACCAACGACAGCGTCAAATCCACCTTACCCATGCCACATCGTCTCGTCACCCGTGTGCCGGATGACAGATATTGGTCGGATTGTCGTATCACACATGCAAGTCGCCGTAGCACTTCTGGATCCGCGAATGGGGATCTCCATCACTCGCCACAGCGGGAGATATGAGATCATATTGCTTGGCGTAGCAAAGCGTCCTGAGGTGCTCACTGCTCGCACGCGCCTGTGTCGCTGCGGGTAGCATAGTCTCAGGTACCGCCCCAACGTGTCGCTTCTACCTATGCACCACACACGACGATCATTGTTCTACACAATCGGCATGGTGGTCACGAACTTCACGCCGCATCATCATGTCCATTTCTTCAGGCGTTGCGCTCATCATGTTGTTTCTAGTGTTATTGCGACGAGCAGGCTTCCTTATTCCCCGGGCTATCACCCCATCATGATTGTGGTCGAAGCTTTGCGCAAGTGCGATTCATGTCTCAATCTCATCTCCACGTACCGGCCACGGATGTTCTTGTCGTGCGCGTTTCTCCGCAGCGCGGAACTTGACACTCATTACATTCGCTCACCATCTATACGTTCACAGTACCTTTGTCAAGCGCATTTTACGACTTGGAATCTGGTTGGACGATTTGTGGATGCAGATAGCATAGAGGTAGTGTGCCACTACCTAGGTACTGTATACCACCTGCAACTCCTTTCAATAACAGCTACAGTTTCCGCGTATCCCATATATTTACAACCACCCACATTCTTTCTCTTGAAAGATGCTCATATTTGCCAATGCGCGTTTCCTTGTTCGGATTCGCGATTAGCTCTAGCCAGTCATGCTGCCAAGGTAGTCTGTGACAAGCGTCGTGATCCGGACTGATGAAGGGTATCTACGGCGATTGCAAAGACAGTGTTCTCGCCCACCCAGCGGAGCTCTTCAAGCGGCGACATTCCTGGTTTGAGGAACTTGGCTGTACAGGAGTGGCATGATATGGAAGTTGTGAATTGCTGGTTGGCCAAAGGTTGGTCTCACCCAGCCAAACATCACGTGTCAATTCTTCCTCCTTATCGATACGTTCTGGTCGAATTGATTCAGCCTAGCACCAACCGGAACTCACCCATGGGTCCACCCAAGAGAGATGGTTTATTCAGACGTTGCGCTACCACGGTAGGACTGGATCACAACGACCCTATGCTTCTGCGACGCGCACACAGCAAAAAGAATCGCGGCTCATGACCAAATCAAAGACATCCTATTTTTTAACGATACTGGATGTGTCACTGCACAAGAACCGCAACGCCGACTATCCTCGTCGACCCACACAGACGAGCCACCTCTTCGATCAACAAATCGCACTTAATACTTGGGGTGCGATAGCCACACCCGCGCATCGAAATGGCGTTCCAGGTCTCACCCTTCCTGCAGGGCCGTCAGCAACCACTCCGTCTTATAAACCCAGTCATGGTCGCACAGGAAGCCGTTGGTCATTTGAAAAGATTATTCCAGAAGATGCGCGGCCGGTCAAACCCGTGTGCCCTCGATCTTCCCGTAGAGATCATCTTGATGGTCGTAGCGTATCTCGATGGATGCTCTCTCGCGTCTCTTTCGTTGACCTGCAAGAGTCTCCATGGTCTCTGGGACCCATACAGTATGCCCCTGATACTACCAGACAAGGAGAAGCTCTTGCTGTGGCTTGAAAGAGATATCCCATACATCTACTACTGTCACCATTGTACGAAGCTGCATCGCTGGCATGGGCGCTGGAGTAGATCTATAGCTCCATTCTACTTGGAGCGTCTACTATGCAAGCAAAATTCGGACAACCACTTCTACATCCCGATTACCTGCCAGATTCCTTACCATCATGCGCGCTTGGTCATGAACCGACATCTCTACGGACGCAATCACGGTTTGCCTCTTCACGTGCTTAACGAACGAGCCCGGTCCTCCCATCACCCAGATGGAGTCATAGACTCGAGGTCCCAGCACGCACGCATCTTCAACCAACAACTCCTGATACTATCGACCATATCCATGACTCATCGCCGAGGTGACCCGTTAGCACTCCGAGACCACATCGACCGCGCTGGACACCTAGTGTGCAAACATCTTACTCTTCGGCAAGGATATCCTGATTCATATCCCACACCACTTCCCCAGCTGGCTAAAGGAACCGGTCCAGACGCGTTTCTGGCCTGCAGCCTTGTAAATGGATCATGTAACTCTTGTCTAACAGACTACACCATTGACATAATCTGGCAAGGTGCAAAGAAAGGGTACAGAATCGAGGTGCTTGTTTATCGCGGGTTGGGTGATTGTCGCACACCGTTCAGCTGGCACTGGCGTACCGCTTCGCGGCTCTTTAGAGATGAACAGCCACGGCTGGCATATTCGTCAGAGTATAGGCTTGGGGGAGTTCGAGAGCAATGGAATAAAGCTGGCTATATGGCGTAGATCACTGGTCGCGCATGACAAAGTACCCATGATGGATATTTTCCTCATTTCTGCGGTACTTCTGGCTGGTGAGCACCTTCGCGCACGTTTCTGTATGTGCTGTGGAAAGAACGAGCAGCTCGCTGATCGCTTCCGTGTGACGATATTATTGGGAGTGCAGGAACGCATGGAACACTTCTTCTCATATTGTTTCGAGCGAACTACACAGTACGAAAAGGCCAATTCTATGCCAACCTTCTGTTCTCTCTTACAATTGCCTTAACTGTCATGAATTGTGAGAAATGAAATGGAAAATTACCCCTTCCGCACTTTCCTGTTGTGCAGTTTCCAATCTCGCGATTTCCCTCCCCTGATTCCAATCGAACCTGCCTACTGACAACGCAGACATGCTTGCCTGCCATTAACCAAATCGTACGACGGCAGAATGGGCAATTGCAGTCTACAGCTGCCACCTCAAAAACATCGCCAGTCCCTTCGCTCGCTGATTTCTTCTTTTCTCTCCAGGACTGACACCACTTCGAAAGAATCTTGCCTGCAATGACTTCTTCCCCAACTTCTACTTCTACTTCGACCGTCCCGGACGCGTCCGTCGCTTTTTGGTTACCGATAGGCTGTGCCCTTGTCGCTACCGCTTTCACCATTTTCTCTTTCTGCCTCCAGCTTTACATTACTTTTGTCAGAAGTAATTCTGTTCCCCCGCAACTTAATCAGACCGTGGCTGCCCTTGAGGCGATACGGGACGATATAGGTTACCTCCGGGCAGTACAGAGCGACGTCGCAGTGTTGAGGATGGCATTGACCGCGCCTGGGCAGCCACTTGCCGAGACACTGCGGACACTTCAAGAGTTGAGGACTGACCTTCTGGCGCTGGCCGAAGATGCTCACGAGATTCGCGAAGTTGTCACGGGATTGATAACGGATCGACAGGAGCCAGTCCTTCCTGTCCTTCTCGAGATCTTGGCTGAACTCCGGAAATCGAAAGGCGACCCGCAGATCCAGAGGGGGCTTCAGGCCTTCTCCTTCCAAGTTTTCTTGGATGCTCAAACCAAAGCCCTGGCCAGAGAACGGATACAGGCAACTCCCAATCCATTCCTTGACTTGGATTGATGACACTACGCACAGGTGGTGGGGGCGGGTTTCCTTTGGGGGGCTCGTTCTCCCCAGCGATATGCTCACACCTTACCGCGGTGCTGGGGTTCAGTACCCTCGTGAGAGGGGAAGCTAGGATGAGCATCATGTATATAATCTTTCAATCATTCCGTTTGCATCCTATGATGAACACTACCATTGCACAAGTGATGTCTTCAATGCCTTGATCATGTGCATGCTGCGAAATCATGTTCATCATGCATGCGACATACGATCAAAGATGCTCCATCTCTAATTTCTGGCGCAACACCAAAGCATCGGATCCAGGGGTCGAAGTGGCCTCTGGCTGACTTCGGCCATCGTCCTGAGTGCGTTCGCTCCCCAAAGGTATTGTGAAGACCATCATCAGCCTGGCATTCGTGGCGCATACTACTGCATACGAGTTGCTGAAGCGTAATGTATTAGCACCTGTGAGGCGATTATGCACCGATGTTATCTTCAGTATAGAACAAGGCTGAAGGCCAGGATCATATCCATGCATAAGAGCCTCGAAAATTACCTGCTTTCACCAGATGGCACATGATGTTGCTATCAGATATAGTTTTATTGCTCTTCCTACATGATTGTGCCTCGCCAGACATATATCCCAAACACGATAGCTCCCTCCAAAGTCGGCTGCATGCTTGTCCGCATGCTTTGAGTATGTGCGATACCGTTTGGTATGCTCGATGGATTGGAGTCGTCAAGGTTGTGTCAGTGGTCGTAATCGTTGTGTATGTGTCGGCGAGGGCGTCTCGCTCATAGCTAAAGGTTCGCGAGGGGTTGGTTGCAGTTCGACCTCTTCGAGAGGCTGTCGGCAGTGCGCACACACGTCCGGCTTGTCTGCGCGCTCAAGCCAACTCCGTAAGCAGTTGTGGCAGCTGAGCTTCCCTGGTCCAGTCAGTCAAGGTGTTGGTGAGTAGACGGATGGGATATATACCGCAGCAACGTAGCCTCTGGTAGTGAATACCATCCGCTTCAAAAGTCTCGACGCTATCGAAACATATGAAGCATTGACGGTCCAATTCCGTGTTTGCAGCGTTTCGCGCCGACTCCGCCATTAGCCGATGCAATGATTTAGGCCGTCGTATAGGCGGTGAGCTGGGTGGTCGACTGGATGGGTAGGGCTGATAACGGTAGACAGCGGAGCGCGGCGTAGGTGTGAAGATGGGTGCCGTCGACTGCCTAGCACTGAGCGTATAGGGTTGTTCGGTTGAAGGAAGAGGTCGATCGCAGGAGGGTTGGCGAGTACGACGCAAGGACTCCCAAGGTTGATGTAGAAGGCGCATCGCGCGCTCTTCACGCCGGGGAGTTATTGGTTGATACTCGCGCGCAAGTGTGAATTCGTCGTCATCAGAGGCTTCGAGTGTTGCGGCCGAACGAGCAGCCCCGGCGGCGGGAGCATTGGCAGTGTGGGCGACGCGACCATCTCGGACCTCCAGAGCAGCTTCATCGGCCCAAACGCCTTCCACAATGCGACCGGCCTCGGCGGTGCGCTCGGCTTGAGTTCGACGGGTAGCTCCAGATTGACGGGCAGTACGAGCTACGACAGCATCTCGAGCCCTACGGAGTCTCTTCAGTCTTTTCCAGTCCTTCTTCAACGCGTTGTTTGCTCCGTCGGCCGGGATCCAGCTGGGCTCGTAGCGCAAACCGGTCTTCGGATCGGTGCCAGCCCACTTGACCTCGTACCACAGTACGCCATCTTCCCGACGCTCCTCTTGAAGGACGCACTCGGCAAGGTGCTCTTCGTCTTCGGATCCTGGCGACGGTTCGGCGTAGTCGGGGCGTGCGGATGTGCGTGTGGAGCGGCGTGGCTGGCCCGAAGCTGGTGTATGTTAGTAAACACGACGGCGCTCCAACGATGAAGACAAGAAATGCGGAAGGGCTAGTAGATGACGGGAGGGGTAGCGGGCTACGTGCAAGGGCGGTCATACCAGGCGGGGTCGCCATAATGCGATGGGGCTGGCGCCGGCGCTACTTTGCTGGTGTGGGTTGGTTCGGAGCTTTGCTAGTCAGGGCGCGTGCCGTCATCGCCAGGGGTTAAGCGAGCTTCGATCCGCGGTACACGTGACTACGCGTTTAGCCAATGAACAGCGCCCATGCACGGCACATGCGATCTTCGATCCATCCCTCGCGAACGTCCAACTAGTCCGTGGCGCAATGAAGTGGATGCCAAAGGTATTCGTAGCGCCAGTGTCGTGAATGGAAGTGTTGACAGATGAAGCCTGTTGACAGCGGAGCGTTCGCGAACGTATGTCGAGTGCCCGTAAGTCTGTGAAGTGGCAAGCGACGTGAATTTGACGCCGAGAGAGCTGGTTCGAAGCGAGACTAGCTAGACTCTGAGTTCTTGCCCGGCTCGATCGATGCCTGCATGTCAACTAGCTATCTGGCGCCCGTCGGAAGTCGTGCGGTACATCGGGGCGGCCATGGAGTCGGCGATGCACTTCGCTCACTATCCGCATTCGAGGAATAAATATACACATATACGTTGGTGGTGCGTGTCGCACACTCTTGCCGGGTCATTGTCATAGGTGGTTGTGTACACGTGACGCGCACTAGCTCGTTTGGCTTCCAGGGTTAGCGCGCAGCGCGTCCTTCCCCTCCACCCCACGTCTCCATTCCAGCCACCGCTCTCTCATCTCAAAACACCATCATCCCGTGATCGCTTGCTACGACATAAATCACAGACACACTTGCTCCTTCGTGCATCAACACCAGAAGATTTGGTCAGGCTTGCGAGAACTACGGGGCGCCTTGCGGAAAGCTGCAGACATCGTCCATCATGGGATTAGCGCCATGTATCGCTCATATCTCTCGCGATCGCGCAAACAAATTGCATTTTGCGACCTTGAGCTCAGAATGCTCGACGTGACTGCTAGACAAGCGCCAGCCAGTCATTGATCTTTTCACTCGCCCAATTGATCTATCCGTCTTCGTTCAACATGGCACCCCCAACCACCCCGTCCTCCCAAAGGTTCAGGCACACGATCGACGAGCTAGTCGAACACAACCTGATCGTCGACTGTGCCGACAAGGCGTTCCCACGAGAGCTGAGTGAGCGTGTGGAGCAAATGCTGAACGCGCCGGTCATGCCTGAACAAGCTCATGCTGCACAGGAGATCGTCTATCAACATCGGGAGGCCCGCTCTATGGACAAGAAGAGTGCTGTTAACATGATGGAACCGCTGCTGCTCTTTCAGGGAGAGCGAACCGGCTATGCACGTGGCATACCCAACATCGATATCAGCCACGACTATACCATGACGACAGACTTTGTTCCAATCCCACCAAGTTCCGATTCAGATGCCCTGAGATATAAACCAGATCTCGCCATTGGGTATTTGAATCCCCGCGACAGCGAGACCGGTGTAGACTCAGGGTTGACGGAAGAGGATAACGAGCTCCTGAAGAAGTGAGTTGACGATCACTCCCCAGATTCCCATGCTGACGTTAGATTGCCAGTTTCAAGCTGAACCCCGAACTATCCTTCCCGTTCCTCACTGCCGAGTGGGAAGCAGTAGACGGACATTCCATCCTTAACGCGATGAAGAAGTCTGCTCTCCACGGCGCGACGATCGTAAATTACCATCGGCAATACTTCGAGTCCGCGTACGGCGATATTGTACCTGCGACTTCGGCCTACACCATGCACATGTCCGTTACATGCGATATGATGCTGCTCCAGCTCTGGCTACATTGGAGCGAAGGGGTGGACAATGGAAAATACTTTATGAAAGAACTGTACTCGTGCAGTTTGTCTATGGAAGAGCAGATCGCGAAGGCTCAAGCGATTCTGAAGAGCCACCTGGACTGGGCGCTTGCGGATCGGCTCCAAGCTATGAAGGACGCACTTCCCCTTTGGCAAAAGGCTCGCGCTATAGAGAAGGCGAGTCACGAATTAAAAGAGGCTAGACGCATGTCAGCACTCGCTATTCGCGGATCGGTTTCTGTCCGTTCTCACACCATCCAAGCCACGGCAAATCCAAAGACGCCTCGTAGGAGTGTGGCAACACCCAAGTCGACCTCAAAGTCAAAGGCCACCAACAGCAACCACACATCAATACCACGAACCCGAAAGAGGCAGAGGGATTCCGCTGAGAGTTACGTTCCGCAAGATCAGATTGACGAGCTCTCACAATCCTAGAGGAGGTTAAAGATCACGGGCGCCACAGCTGCCCTGGAAACGCGGGTGCTAGTGGTAGCACGACCGCCATCAGACGCAAGAGGACAACGACCACAAAACCAGTGGTGGAGGTGATGGGGACGAAGGAGGTCGGGCAAGTTGTAGCGGATGTTGCCCTGCTGCTCATCGTGAGAAGCATAAATGCCGCTCGATCTTGGGATCCTCTTCAGCTCATGCCTTGGAATAGGAGATTGAGGTTCCGGCAATGTGTTATATGGCACCGTTTTTGGTTTGGTCTCCAGATTATGTCAACATAGATACCAGCACACAATGCACCGAGCTTCTCTCCGTTTATTCTCGAGATGCCTAGGCGCAGTCATCACCAATGAATGTGTCGTATGCGCCCTTTCTTGACTAGCATACAGTTATCCAAGTACATCCAAAGCCATTGCGCATATCCTTCCTTGTGTTCTCGCTTTCATAAATGTGTTGGGCTGAACATGTGGTGAGCGAGGATGCAGCTGCCAAAAATGTGTGAGGCTCGGGAGACCGGAGACAGCATGCCACCTGCCCCACTCGTCTCTCCCATCGAACCTCCGCGTCTGCAACGGTTTACTCGGGTAAACTCCGAAAGAGATCTGGCAAGATCCAATGCGACAGATATCTGCACGACTCCCCTCAACCTTCGCCCTCACTGGCGGACTTATTGGGATGACTGCCCTGAACTGGGCGGGGCCGCAGTCGCGGTGCGGGCCGTATGTTGATCTTCAAGCTCAACGGCGCGGATCTAGCTCGGGGTGGTTCGCGCTTGGCCATCATGCGGGGCAACGCAGCTGCTGACACTCGCTCGAAAGCTTGTCATGGACTTTTTCGTCGCGGCATCGACTGGAGGAGTCACCCTACACGCACCGAGCAGTGACATAACCTCTCGACTGACCACATGGACTCTCAACATTGCGACACCTCTGACGTAGTCAGTTCCCCTGTTGGAATCCGCGAGCTGGACAACAACAGCCTATAAACTCTCGATCGATAGACAGCCTTTGACTACTTGTTGTACTGCAGACGCACAGACATGCTCGTACGGCAATCTATCCTCACTACCGACACAGCGAAAATCGGGACGTCGCTTACATCTCGACCAGTACTGCTACACGGCCGAGGCGAACGCTGAAGTCGTCACTTTTGTCACATGCTAGAGGCCGAAATAAGCGGACTGTGTGGCTTCGGAACCTCCGCATATCGAACCCCATTTTTCACACCCTAACGACTACAAAGCGACAAAGACAATCATAAGACGTGCTGAAGTGTGTTTTGGAGCAGACAAGCGGTTGAGACGCAAACATTGCTGCTGGGTTGGGTCGACGTCGTCTCCATGGTTGTGGATCGCAAGACTGCACACTCGAACATGGCAAACGGGCGTCAGATCCTTGCACTGTATACTGGGGATCGCATCGTCGACCGCAACGGTATCTCTCCTGGGATTGGAAAAGTATGGGCCTGCATGACATCGGGGGAGGCCTGTATGCACTTGCCACAGAATGTACCTTCGAGATTGAGTATCGGCTCACCCTCGAGAAGATCAAGGCCGACCACCTGCGCGTTCGCTATCCTGATCCGCTAAGCAAGATGGCCAGAGAAGTGGGAACCCTCAAAGTTCAGGACGACGACAAGCACAAGGTCGAGGCCGCTTTACCCCGGGTAAATATCCACTACTACGGAGCCAACGGGCATTCGCGAGAATTTGATATGGAGAGGGAGGCCACGCGTGGCCTCCAAATAAACAGCCTGATACAGCAGAGATCAGGCATCCGCGTGTACAAGGAGGGTTTCACGACGGGCAAAACCTTCGGTATCCTGACGAACATACACTTCAGCATGAAAGGTGCGTAGTATGCACCAGTGAAGCAGGAGGTCAGAGACAACCCCGACGAAAAGCTCAAGATCAAGGATCTCGGAATTTCCTTGGAGATATCATGGCGGCACGACATGCACAAGTGGGCCGGCATCATTAGCTGGTACGCCGAATGCACCCCGTTCGGCGTCTCAGGCGACAGTGGTGCTCTGGTCTGTGCAGTGGAAGATAGTCAAACGGTGCGCTTGGGCATACACATTGGCCGCTTGATTACCCAGGAGAACCGCAGCATGTTCTTGGGTCTCGGAGCCTGGTTCGTGGAGGGGGAATGTCATCAGCTCAAGTTGCACTTCTGACCAGCTTGCTCGTCGTCAACATCAACTATCATTTCCCAAATTGCACGACGCCCATCATTCCCCAAATTGTGCGACACTTATCATTCCCAAATTGCACGACACCCAAATACCCATTCACAGACTTGGATAAATGATGTAATAGCACCGGCTGAGCGGCAGACGAGAATATCACTAATGTTTCCCGCACTGAGTCTCAACTTCGCGTGACCCTCGTTTGGCCGTCACGCCAATATCATACTAATAAGAATCTAACATCGAACAGATATTTGAACAGGGCTTATGCAAGTCCTGATCTTACCATCACGCAGGCATCAAGCCACGTGGCGAGTCAAGTAAGAGGCTTGCCGCGTGTCTGAGCCTCCTAGTTTACACTAGCGATGAGTGATTTAGCATTACAGGTACTAGCATAGTCTTGAATGCTTCTCCTACTTAAGATCAAGGTGAAAGGGAGCTCCGTACGCGCTCAGGTAGGCAATATACTTCACTGGGCTCGATACAAATGAGACTCCTACACTCCACTTCCTACCCCATCAACTCATAACTCTTATTTCACACCCACAAACCATAACCGGCCCTGGCATTATGGCCAACAACAACTCCCTCGAGAAGCTCATCCACAGCTTCTGCGGAGTGCCGCTGCCGCCACGACTTCCGCCCGCACCAACCAAGCGTATCTCCGACATCGCATGGAGAGGTGACGGAGTGGATCCGGTTTCCTCGGAAGGCGGATGGTCAATGGAAGCGCCGGACCAGATGCAGTCCATGATGATTTGTCGTCGTCGCGCAGAGCTCGAATACCTTCGCCATAGGCACCTGGACTACTTGGACCCCGCCGTCGTGATTGGCCCGAAGTCCAACCAGAAGGACTGTTTTGAGCTAAGGGGGGCAATGAGGCAGGATGTGTCCATCATACATGGCAAGTTAGCTGGCAAGCAGTTATTCCTCCTCCAGACTTTGGAGGCGGAAATTATGCTTTGCAACGTCAAGACGAGCGCTCGCGATCATTACCAGAGAGTCCTTGAACTCAAAATCTTCCCGCTTGTCGTGAAGGCGCTCAGGCTGAGGTCAGGTGTATGAGCCACGCTCGCACTTATATCTTCGGTCGTGAACTTCATCAACGAAGACATCAATTTACGTATTGATGCGGACTTTACGTTCAATCATTCCGTGAAGCATGGGGTAAACAACGGATGAACCTGCCACTTCATTAGCACTGGAGTTTGCCAGGGACTGGGCCAAGGGTGCACTGGAACTACTCTTTCCCCTGAAGAGACACGGTTGGAACGACTGTCTGGTCCACATTCAGTTAATTTTGTCATAGATCTAGCATTGCTTTTGTTTACTCAAGTCTAGGATACATAGCTACGTGTTGTTGTATGATATTACAGCCGCAACTGGTCCTCTAAGTGCCTTCCCTTGATACATATCCGATACACACTGCCTGTCCTTCATTAAACCTGCGACCGATAGCGAGCTAAGGAAATTGAACTAGTCTTCGCTTAGCCCAGAACCCCGCGAGGACGGTATGCAGTATATGATGTTGGCTCTGGGCTGACATCGCGGAAATTTGCGGCAGCCGACGAAGGGCGAAGACGGTGCCCTTCCCTGGAGTCGGAATTCGAGGAAGAGTCGCGAGATGTTTCATCCAGGAAAGGATTTGTCGGGCTGACGGCATGATGACCTCCGGCACTCTTCGATACGGGATGCATTTCCTGGTTGTCTTCCAGATCCGAGTCGTCTCCTAGGCGTTGATGATGAGGTCCAGCGTGGCCAAGCTTACCATTGCAGTCGTCGCAACGACGTTTGCCACAGCAGCAGCAAAGATGACGTGACAGCCACGAACGCGGCATCTTGGCGTCCGGGCCACGGATAAAGCGACCGGGATGGACTATGTTCCACACAAAGATGGCCAACCACATTGGAGCTGACTCCAAGACGTACAGGAGAGGCTCGTTGCTCGGCAGAGGGTTGCTTGCGCCAAGACCGGCGGAGAACTCGGCGAGACGGTAGATGATGCGAATAGTGATAGCCAGCAAGCATGCGTACAGTGCGTACAGCAACCATTTCCAGCCACCAATCTTGTCCGCGGGCAAGCGTCCCACCCTCTCCGCCTGGAGCTGGTCGCGGTGAAACTTGACGACCAACCCCAGAAACAGAACAATGAAGCCTTCCTGCATACCGATACCACCCATGTATATGTTCAAGCCCTTCTTTTGTGCTTCCAGACTTGCACCTGGACCTGCCATTCCACCGCCGATGAGCTGAATGACAAAAGAGACGATGTCGAGGGTGACGAAGATGAGTGCGAGGATGGAGGGGGAGAAGATCCAGACCTTGCGAGTGGGTGAGTAGAAGTGAACGATGCGGGCGAAGACCATATAGGCGAAGGCGTTCACCCAGATAGGCGCTACCAACACCAAGATCTGAGCGACCGTTGCAATGCCAGAGGATTGTTGGTCCTTGGAACCAAGAGCGCGAAACGCATATGCGCCAGTTTCCCAAAGAGCGGCCATGATAATAACCCAGCAGAAGCCATTGCGGTACACTATTGCTTGAACCAGATGTGCGATCGTGAGCATGCCAAACAGCACGGAGAAAGCTACTGCCGCGGCGAAGTTGGGAAAGTATACCCATAACGCATTGCATGCCTCCGCAGGCACGTAGCCATCGAGCCCGGGAGTGGCGTATGAGCTGAAACCAGGCGTGCAGGTCTCAGGTGGAAGGTCGAGTGAGAGTGATGGTATGGAAGGTTCTGCGATCGATATTGTGGAGAGGTCTAACGAGAACGGCGCAATGTCTGGTGCGAAGTCGTCATCGCGACGAGAAGGCGGAGCGGTTGCTGATGGCACGGAACTTATGACATCTCTAGCGGCATTGGCTGGGGAGGGTATTGACGTGGGTGTGGGTGAAGCGATGCAGTGGAAGGGCAGTAGGAAGGCGCTGAGAAGCGCAAGTGTATATCTCATGGTATGAGCAGCACGGGAAGCAGATGTAGATATCTGTGATGTTTTGTGCGGGCAATGAACCCACGGGGCATTTCACCGTTATACATATTGACTAAAGGAAGCTGTTGTTGATACATACGTAGGCAATGCTGCTCTAAGGTCGTGGACAGCGAGGCTGAGGATGGAAGACGTACGCACCTCGCAAGCCTGTCTCGATCGGGCGGCTGAGACATGTACTGTAGATGTTGCTTGCGGATGGGGCGTAAATGGCTTGCATAGCGTGGCTGGCGGCTGTAAGCAGCCACCTCCCCATATTTGACGCTGGAGAGTCGCTTAGCCCCTGGTAGGGATCGCGCGTGCGAGAGATTTTGGGTGATAAGATGCAGCTCGTGCTGGAGAATGAATTGCCGTCGACATGGTGGTACAATGGGTCCGGTGGTGAGAGACGTTGACCGTGCAACCACTCCGAACCGATGTGCGTGTTGACCGCGACACCAGGGTTGCACCCCTTGGAGGAATTCTCCCAACTAACCTGGGAACGAGGCGGAGCGCTACGGTTAATGTGTAGGGCGCCTTACCAGTTGGGCGACGTTCGCAACTCCCGCTCAGTCTTCTGTCCCACGTTTGAACGTGTCCCTCCTTCTGGAAATAGAGCGTCGCAGACGTATCAGCGTGGAAGGTAGGATCTAGAAGCCGTTATGCGGACACCGGTTGCGCGGCCGTTGAACTGGGCATGGCAGGGACAGGAATGCGGCGCGGACAGGGGTGAGCGAGACGGACGCCCAGGTGAAAGCCAGCGCAATTCGAATGAAGAGCGCCGCGAGCCGCGGAGACCGAGCATGAGGGAGAGATGAAGATGAGGGTAGGGCCTGAAGGACGAGACGAGGGGCATCGTCCACGCTAGTCCGGTTCTGGCAAAGTCTGTACCGGAAAAAACCAAGGTGACAGTGGTTGCAGCACACTTCCGAATGCCACCCTCCGACCGGATTACCATGAGATACCCTGGAAATATTTACAGACACCGACTTCAGCCGTAGCGTTGACTGCTGTCAATGTCGCAAATGGTGCCATGATGTTTTGGTCGCGCGGTCGAAATGTGGAAAGAGTCATCTGCGCTCACTGAAGCCATTATGCCTCATTCGAACAGAAGTCGCAGTTTTGATCAAAAGGTGAGCGTTTGTCACAATCACGTGAGTCTACTGGCGGTCCCACTCCTTCATCCATGATTGTGGCTGGGGCGGCGGCCTAGACGACATCAATCTCTACACGACCAACGCTTTAATTCGCAACCACCCATAGCTTCCCCACAATGCCCCTCGGCAGCCTCGATACGGATGCGGTATACATGGCAGCGCAGGTTGTTGAAACACAAGGCCGCTGCCTCATCACTCGACCGGCTACACCGGACTGGGCCGGGTCATACGACTTTGACTTCGTCCTGGATCTTGACGAGAGCCTACGTTTGCTCCTTGATCAAATGGAACATAGAAGAGACCACTACGGCCGTGATGCTATCGAGTCGCATCCTGCCCATACACCGGAGGCGATCTTGGCGAAGCATTGCGGCACCGAACATGGGAAGGCGCATCGCGAGGGCAGAATGACCATGGGCGCTTCTACACCGGAGGAAGACTACATGCGGGATCTTTGGGAAGGCGTACCTACCAGGTACAAACAAAAGATTCCCTTGCCACAGCTCTACCCCGACTACACCAGGAGCGTCGGCGTCGCAGCCACGGTACCATCTTCTCACCAAACCAGCGAATCTACTGTCATCCAAAAGCACTCTCGCGGCTCAAACAGCAGCGACACAGATGATCAAGATGCCGTCTCTTCTCGGCCACAGCGAGGTGACTGGACCGTATTGATCAGGCCGTCCGAAACCTCCAGTCAAGGTACCCTTCTGCACGACTCTACCTGCGTCCCGAGATTCCCCGCGCGTAGGGTTAAAGATCCGTCTCCATGGATGACATCTGGATGAAACGAGCAAAATCAGAGTCGGAGTTTCCAGCGCACACGATATCGATACTTGCCGAGCTTCCGACATCTGTGGCCGATTACGTCAAGAATACCGGAGAACGATGCGCCGAACGGTTCACAAGCATTTGGGCAAAGAGTGGTACGCAGCACTTGGTTCCACAATGCTATTATGCTATTACCTCCCTATATCTCCATTTCCAAGACCAGCATGCGGCGGACGTCAAGTGCCAGGCGCGATCTTTCGATACAGTCGAGATAGGGCATGTCGTTGGGTCTGGCTCACATGTGTGCGAAGAAAGTGAAGTTATCCTCTTTCTACGACACTCTCAGCTAGTAGTTGCGCTTCCTACGCGCTGCTATAATGAGCTGCGTCGCTTCGTAGCCTTGTCACTTGGAAATAATTGGCAGTGGAGATGACGCAAAGATCTCGCCAGTACAACGCATAAGATAGTCATATGCCATGAAGAAAAGAGGTCCAACAAGCTCAAATCCACAGAGCTACTCAAACCATGAGCGTGGCCTACATGTGTCTGCTTCGTGAACTACTGGTGCGTTTTTGGACTACCACATACAATACACCTACTGCCACAAAGGGGGTAATTGAATGTTTCCCTGCTACACGCGTTTGCTCCATCTTGATCTCGATTCCATGGCCAAAAGATGGCCTGACGAAGTCCTCCACCGCCGGCAATCCCCTTTTCCAATTCTGAAACATGAGGTATCGGGGTTTCATGAGACCGAGGAAAAGGAGACCAAGGTCTCTGCGTTGGACATACGAGCTTTTGCGCATACCGTGTTGAGGCAAGCGGACCCGGATTGATGCAGGCGGAGCTTGCGGGTCACACTCCACCATAAGGGCGGGGAGTCCCTATTGATCCCAATGCTATGCGTCAAAACGCATGACGCGCGCTGATGCTAATCTCGCCAGCATTGTCTCCCAGGTGTCGCTATAGCAAGCATGAAGACGTGACTGGATGGACAAGAGTCATTCTCGGGCACCAAGCCTTCTTACATGTTTTCATAAGGTTCTCCATGTTCGATGGTGAGAGCGAGGCTGCGTCATTGTGGCCAATGAATATCAATGGAACAGAATAAGCTCACACACCTTATACGAGGAAAAAGCTGAGCAGGTCTGCAGGCTATATTAAGCTAAAACCTTGCAAAGACGGTGACCTAGCGCTAACGTTTGCTCTAGGCTGTTTAGTTTCCTCCTAGTTTGGCGTGCACACAATGTAGAAGGGATCGCGAGGTTAGCTCTATAGTTAAGGCTGCATAATCTGTTCTCATTTTAGGAACATGAGAAAGCGAGATACTTTTAGCATTAGCTGATATGGTATTGTACCCTGAAACTGTCTCCCCATATACGGGTGGTGATTGCTCCGTCAAGATGCGACCAACTCCCATTCTTGATCCTTTTCAGCTTCTCATGCATGTCCGTCCATACTCGCATTCAAGGACCTGTTCACGGCATCTCTGCTAGCCGCCTTAGCACTGCCACTATGCGCCGATGCCCTCACCGGTTTCCCATCCAACTCCCCAGTGCGTCGCCCGGCATCCGCGGTGTCAAGGGCGCCGAGCCTCCGCGCGTACTTGTTGGCTCCCTCTGCTGTCTTCTTCTACCCACTGGGTCAGTGCATGTAAAAGATTGGGTGGGCCAAGTCCTTACGACGATGGACTCCACCCTGCGTCGGATAGGCAAGCGCTGGTTATGTTCCCCCAACGATTGCTTGCAGTCCATGTGGAAAATGAATTCCTCTGCATCTCGCTGAACGGCCCGCAGTTCTTGCCTGATGCGCAGCGCGCGTTCGTCGAACTCGTGTAAGAAGGCGCGATCGCGCAGGGTCGCGGCCTGCAGTGCCGTTTCTTCAGCTTGACACTTGGCTTCCAGCGTCGCAAAATGGTCCTGGAGCTTGCAGTAAGAGACACTGTGGTCGGGAGCTGTCGCCATATTCTCGCGGCGCACTTGCAGTACGCTCGTGTGTGCAGGTCTGGGGTGTTTGAGGAATGATGTGTCCTGAAGAGAGGGAGAAGAATATGGTCGATGCTGATTGCAATGAGAGCTCAAGAGGATAGAACGATGTAGCTCTTTGATCCCACCGTGCAGATTAGATGCGTGTGAGGTGAGTGAGGATGTGGAATGCCCCGTAACGCTTGTCGTTGTGTAGCAGGTGAAGGTGATGAGTGAGCCGTGACGGTACCATCAACTACGGGTCCACCCCGTGGAAAAAGGATAGACTGCATACTCAAGCATCGGGGTCAGAACAGGCTGGAATAGACGCAGTAGCAGTGGTACTAGGAGAGAAGAGGAGAGTATGTATTCTTCGTAGCTACAACTATCAGAGATATGCGAAAAGAGAACGCAAGATCCCAGAATAAGATTGAGAGTACACAGTTGAGGCATGAGATGATGTGGATAAAGATGTCAAGGTCTGGGTCAGTCGATCATGTCGCCGATATGGAGCTAGTCCTCTTACGGTCCCGAGGTCAAGCTTCAATTGTGCACATGAGGACGTACGCGAGCGCGAATCTGGTCCAACGCGACCCCGCAATGACATCTCGCCACAGCACGTCTGGATTCGAGTGTCAGCCCGATTGCACATTTCCCTTCATCCTCCGCATCGCAACGAAGGAAGAATTGCGTCATCGCGGCTCTCTCCATCAGTCTCGTCGCGTCATGACTATTCGAGCTCGAGCTCGCCCCAAGCGAACCGCTCCAGCTGTCGAGCTCCTCCTCAGGAGCCGGGGTGGCTGAATCATGCGCGCACGAATTCACTCATGCACGCAAAGGTGCTGTCTTCAAGTCCGGTTTTCGAGAGCAATTGCGCTGGTACGGCATCTTCCCCTCCCAGAAGTGGAATGGCAGCTGCTGAATTCCTCACCTAGACGACCTCCACGACCGATGCGATGGCCACAGCCCAGCTGCTTTTGCGGGGAACAGCCCGAAGCAAGGACAACGCGCATGCTTGACGTCCGTAAACTCCCTGCGATACCTCCTCCCCCACCACAGAAGCGGCCCCCTTTCACGACATGCAAGACTTCATGCATGCGCCGAAACGAGAGTGGCCGGAGAAATAGAAATATGAGTCGGATTGGAGTAGTCTTTGGCGGCAGTAGAACCTTCCGACCATGGGTTCAGCCGGGCCTCAAATATCGTGGTGCAGGGGCTCAGCGATGGGATGGGTATGAGCTGCCAGCAGCTCCATGTGGCTTTCTCCTCCTGTCCCGATCAACACTCTTTCCTTACTCATGGAGGCTGGATAGCAGCAATCACGTTCTTGACGACGTCGACATCTTCATGTATCCGGTTTCCATGCTCCTGCTTCCGCAGGTAATATTGCCTTCTACCTTGCTAGCATTGTATCACTGATCCCTCTGTCTGACTTGGATGATGATGAAGGTGGTAATCTCACATCGAATCGTCTTCGGTCGCTCCCGCGCGAATACTACTTGTTGCTTCCCTTGAACCTTGTCATAGTGCCGAATCTCATACGATAAGAATCGAAACACTGGTTGACAGTTCGAGTAGTGGCAATGTCGCACTCGCGCAAGGGCTGTGCGTTGCTGCCTTCAGATGACAGCAGCATCTGTTCGAAGAGAATCTTGCATTTCACCGAAGCCGAGTGTAGTAAGCATATCAAATTGCTTGTCAAGATCTTCTCATCATGGAGTTCAACCCGGTAGGCACCAAGAAGATGCACTCACTATCGGAGGTCGACCAGATGACGCTGACCCAAAGCAGCCTAGCTCGGGTTGCCGTCACTGCCATCCATACATGTCATCGTGGCCGTGAGCTCCTTCCCCCTCATCCAAACACGCGGCCCTTCTCTCGCTTTTCACCCCACATCATCCAATTCGCCAACAATGGGCATTCGTGGCCCACCGTCTCGCGTATAGCATGGGTACCTCGTTAGCAAAGGATGCCCGAGCACTACAACGCCAGATCTCTACCTTGCACGCAGACTCGGAAGCCACGCTGATCACATATTCCAAGCTACTGCACAAGTACCCCGAAGACCGTCGCGCCTTGCTCGGACTGCTCGACGCGACCGCACACAGCATCATCGAGGGGTGGAGGCTACGAGCGCTGGATGACCACACGAATGCACGAGGAGCCTTCAATAGCCTGGAGAAGGGACGCTGGGAAGCGTTCGGCTGGCTTGAACTTGATATCGCCTTCGCATCGGTCTGGATCGACAAACCAACCTTTCTAATTCAGCTGCGAGCGCTGCACGACAAGACCAAGCTCAACTGGAAAACAGCCGTTGGCCTCATCGCAACTGCTAAGGGCAACGCTCGCGACGTCAAACCAAAACACATCAAGCACGTACTAGAAGAAGCGCAAGCAACTGAGAGAAGCGTAACAGTCACGCACAGAAAGACGGCTGTTCACGGTGATCAGAGAGAAGTGTACGGGCCTGCAACTGGCGAATGGGAGGAGCAGGAAAGCAGCGTAGAGCAAGACGAAGACGGAGACGTAACGCTCGTAGAACACGACCTCCCGGCGCAGAAGAGCCCCGATCATCCACCCATCACCCAGTCTGATCCCTCAACCTGGGGCGAGGACGACACGTGCTTAGAGGACGGCATTGTCCCGGTACACGAGACCGGAAGGCAGCATCTTCAACGTCAGCATCTCGACGAGCAGCGTATCGACCCGCAACAACTCAACCAAAGGCGCCTTGCCACGATGGCCACAAGCAATGGCCAAAGCGTACAGCCTGAAGATCGGGTCGCGATCGTGAAGCGGTGGAGGCAGGAACTGGAAGACAGTCGCGCGAAGGCAAGACAGTCTCGGGAAGCCAATGTTGCTGCCGGCGTACATCTCGAGGAAACGACCAACACATCGAATCTGAACGCACGCAAACGAGTCGCGCGTGTCGCCTTTGGT